TTATAAACAATTGAAATTTTCGTAGATAAAAAAAGATGATAAAAAGATAAGAAATAGAATGAGATTTTATCTCCATTAGCTGTCTCAATCTGTTTTTATCTCCTTTTATTTAATGAAAATTTAAATTGCTCATAATTTAATCAAGTTCAATATTTTTGTATAATTTTTGTATACTATTTTTTATATTATTATGATTTTTAAAACTGACTTTTAAAGATTGAATTTTCTTAGATATTTCTCACCAATACATCATATGTATTATTTATTATCCTTATAAGATTTCAGAAATTGAAAAAATTCACTTCTTTGATTAAAATTTTAAATGAAAAGAATTTTATTAAAATTTTAAAAATATGTATAAATTATTGATATTCTTGTTTAATACATACATTTATTACTTTTATTACAAATTTTTCATATTTTACATTAAACAAAAATAAATATGAATTATAATTGATACAGATTTAATAAATTTATAATCATAGTAAAAAGTATAATTTTTTTTATTTATTTATTTGACTTTTAAATTAACGTAATTTTTTTTATTAATTCTACATATATATTTATTGTAATTAAATTTAAATTATTTAATCAATAGAAAAAATAAATTTTGTATTGTTATAGATATTATAAATATAATAAATAAGAAGAAATAAAATATCTAATTATATATAATCAGAGAAATTTCATAAAGAAAAAAGTAATTTATAAAAATTAATTTTTAATTTTTAAATATTGAACGAATTAAACAGTAATGTAATATATAAAATAATAATGATATATTATAATAATTTCTAAAATTCATCGATTTTTTTACATTTAAAATTTTTTAATTAAAATTTTTTGTTTTAAAAATTTTTACTTACAACAAAAACATAATTCTTAGAATTTTTTAATTTTTGATACTTTGAAAATTTTTTAATCAATCTTTCTGTTTTTTATTTGAAATTTTAGTTTTCTGGATGATTTAGACCGATTAGGAGCAAGGGATTATCAACCTACGGAGCAAGATATTTTAAGGACTCGTGTCAAAACAACGGGCATAGTAGAAGTCCACTTTTCCTTCAAGAATCTTAATTTCAAGTAAGTAATCAAAAAAAAAAAATATTTCATACTTAAGATACATAAAAATAATATTTAATAGATTTATAAATTTTTAAAATATTTAGAAATTGCTACAAATTTTTATTTTTAAAAAATGGATTATGATGATTATTTTTTTATATTATTCTATGTCGTTTACTAATTTTTAAATATTTTAAATGAAATCTTGTTTGCTAAATTATTTAAAATAAATAAAACAGCGATAAATAATAAATACACTTTTTATGATATGATACAATTTCAATTATTTACTTTCATATATGGAACTATTGTTATATACTTTCTTTTTTTATATCCTAATTCTCTTTGAATTTATTTATAAATATCACGATGTTATGAAAAAAAATATTATATATATTATATATTGTATATTATATATATTATATAATTACATGAATAATTCAATTATATAGGAATAGAATTTTAGAAATAATTATAGCTTTTATAACTTAATTCTAAATTTATTTTAAAATTTATCTTAAATTACAAAATTGTATTTTTTATTTATGAATTACAATATATTGAATTTTATATATAGAATAGATAATCTACTTTAAAAGATTTAATTGTAAAACAAAAAATTGTTTAAAAATAATTCTAATGTAAAAATTTTAATTATTGTTAATTATAATGATCTTAATGAATAATGAAATAAAGAAATTAAATAAAAAAGAAGGGTAAAGAAGAGAGAAAGAACAATGACCTATGAATGATTAAGAATGAATCATTAATTTGATAATTTAAGAAATTGAGAAACATTCCTTCTTTAAATTCTTGTTGTATTAAGAAATATTTTTATACATTATATCATGTAAAAAAAATTTATATAAATATTAAATTAATTTATATGTACATGTGTTAATATTATTAACTATATTTATTTTATATATTATTTATATATTATATTCATATAAATATATACAATTTATATTTATATATAATCATAAAAATATATTAAGATAATTTTTACTTTGATTAAAATTTTTTCTTTGAATAAAATTATATTTATTGATATTATTTATCTCCAAATGATATTTGTTAATATAATAATAATTTATAATAATTTATACTATATAAATACTAATTTATATGTTAAAAGCCAATGCTGAATATATATTTTATATCAATAATTGTTAAAACTATTTAATTTAAATAATTTTGATTAAATGAAATGAATTAGTATTCTAGAGCTAGAATAATCAATTTTTTTTATTATTATTTTATTGTTTTAGAATAGAAAATGTTAATGTTATTAATAATGTTATTATCTAATGTTATTAATAAAAAAAACTATAGAAAATCATACATTATAATATTGGATTTAAAGTTGTTCATACTGATAAATCTTTGCTATTTAATATATAATATATTTGTAATAATTCTGATAAAGCAGTAAGCATAGAATTCATGATTAAAATTTATAATCTCTTAAGTACAAAAATAATATATGACAATTCATTTTATACAACATAACCATTTAAATATTTAAAATATAATAGTTTGAATTATTATCAATTAATAACTAGTACAGATAAATATTTAAAATAATTTTATAAATTTAATATATTGCAATAATTATTTTAAAAGTCAGAACAATTTAAAATAATAATAATAGAAATTAACTATTTAATTATTCTATAAATTTTTGAACTTTTATTTATTATATTGATTTTTTTCAGATTATTTGATGTAGGCGGTCAAAGAAGTGAACGTAAAAAATGGATCCATTGCTTTGAGGATGTCACTGCGATCATATTTTGTGTCGCGATGTCTGAATACGACCAAGTTTTACATGAAGATGAAACGACGGTAAGAATTCAAATCTTCAAAACTTTTTTTTAATAATAAAAAAAAATTATCAATAATAATAATCGTTTATTATTATATATTTTGTTTCTTTCATAGAAGTTTTAATATTATTATAATATTGATAATAGAAAGTAGAAAATCAATTATGAATATTAATGAGTAGAAATAAGAAATAAATGATAGAAAATAAAAAATTAATGATAAATTATTGATAACAAATAGAAAATCATTAAATAAATAAATAAAATAAATAAATAAATAAGCTTAATGTAAAAAATTATTATTAATTAATAATAATTTAAATTATAATTAATTTTTAATAATGATAATTAAAGTTAAAAAATTATTAAGAAAAATAATATTAATAAAATAAATTCGACACTTTTATGGCTATTAAATTTTTATATCTTAATTACATTCAACAAATAATTTTTAATATTTTAACAATATTTTATTAAAAAGTTTTTGTATATGGAAATTGTATATATCAATAAAAATCTTTTTATTATATTCAAATTTATTATATTATAATCAAAAATATTATTAATAATATTAATAAATAATATATATTGAATTTCAAAAATATATTTTAGCAATAAATAAACATTGCAATAAAAATAAATCAAACAATATAACAACATTAAATATATTTCAAATACAATATTAAATTACAAAAATATTGCAAATTTTGACTTAATTATAATTTAAATTTGATTACATATAAGAAAGTAGTTCATTGCAATTTATATAAATTATAATTTTTGTAATATTAATATAATTAATATGCATATTTCATATTATTATATAAATATATGTGTCTATAGTCTTTTTTTTTTAATTTTACATATATATATATATAT